AGTGGAGAAGCATTAATGCAAAGAATCAGTGACAAGATGGAACAAACAATACAAGATATGAGTTGATCTAAATGGTACAAGTTGGGGGATGAGGGGAATTATAATACTGTCTTTCCATCTCTTGTAGTGAACAATTGTGATGCTCCATCAGAGTCCCTAAGATCCCTTTTTATCCTTCACGTACTCCCAGTCTGTGTTCAATGTTTCAGCAGACTACACCTACAGTTCTTCTGAGGACTTCATTTGAGGTACTTCAAACATTTTGCTCACCTGGACAGAACCAAACGCCCCTGCCCTGCCCCCAAGGGAAGTGGGTAACCCAAAATTATCCAGTATGGGAATATGAAATCCCAGTCTCCTTGTCTCAAATTAGGACAACACTTGCACAAATATGGGGGGGGGCAAAAAACTTCAGAATTTATTTATTAAATAAACATGTTTAAACTTCAGTCACCTTCAAAATACTCTGTTTGATGCAATACACATATTGAGACACTTTTTCCACTGCTCAAAAGAGTTTTTAAACTTGTCAATTTTGAGGCCTTTTAGTGCTTCTGTCATTTTTTGTTTCAGCTCTTCCACATAGGCAAAATGTTCCCCTTGGGGACTTTTTTTCATCCAGGGAAATAAAAAAAGTTCCCCTTGGGGATTTTTTTTCATCCAGGGAAATAAAAAAAGTCACTAGGGGCAAGATCAGGTGAATAGGGAGGGTGAGGTGTGGAGTTCATGCTATTTTTGGTAAAAAACAAAAAACAAAAAAAAACCCTGCTGAACACTCAGTGCAGTGTAGGCAAGTTGTTGGTTTAAGTCACCTATCACGAAATAGGCAAATGTGTTGAAAGAATTTCCAGGAAAACCCTTCGGGTCCCCTCCCACTGTGGGAGCTCTTTTGTCCTCTCAATAAATCCTGCTTTCTCACACACACAAAAAAAGACAGAATTTCAAAAAAAAAAAATTCACTGAAGCTCAGTGCAGTCTCTCACAGTAACACTAGCTAGTACACTGATGTTGATGGGTTCCTAGAACACATACCTAGTGGGGGAAGGATGTACCATATGGGGCCCACTCTCCAAAAAGATAATTCCGGTTTTTTCAGGGTCCCTCCTCGTATGTTCATCTAGGGTTTGCTTCCAGGAAAACCAAACCTCAATAAATCTAAATGTGATAGTGTAAAAAGTACTAGCCCAAATGGAATTTTAGACGGAACAACTGGGACTTCTAAAAGCTTAGTCATGCAACAGTCCACTATAACTTCCTTCTGGTGCACTTGCCTGTTGTACAGAAACAAGTATGCTTTAAAAAAAAAATCCTACATTTCATAGTGTTCTGGATGAGATTTAAAATAAGGTAATTACATGTAAGTTCTGAAAACTATAAGTGAGGCAGAGGCCTCACTATTCTGCTACACATAATCTTGGTTTTTTTGTACATAATTTCCAATCTTGGCAGTTAGTAGCATGGTTCTAGAGATGATAGCTTTCATGACAGGTTCCAATTTGGCTGATAACTGCATCACAGAACAGTCAGGAGCATTCTTGGTAACCTGGTCTGGGGCATAGCTCTCAAAATCATTCCTGAAAACTTAACTTAGAGCCTATCTTTTCAGTTTTCTAAATGATTCCATTAGCCATTTAAGGCTCATTGTGTATAAACTGGCTAGAGAGGATTTTATTTCCTACAATGGACCTTGAATACACAAATTTTATTACTAAAAGTGGGGTGCTATCATGACAAACCTAAAATACGTAGCACTGGCTGAGTAAAAGGTTGATCACTGTTATGCCTTAGCAAAATAATTAATAAAAACAGTTATAGGAAGGCAGACCTCATACTCACTGAACATATAGCTCTAAAGGAAAAGATTAAGACAATTAAGGACACTGGTCTGTATCACGGCTTCTTATTGCTTTCAACAAGGTCCTATTTGAGACTGATAAATTCAGGGTAGAACTAGTCAGTCTGCATTCAGGGATGTAAAGAAACACAGCTCTCTGTGCCAACAGTCTAGAATCAAAATTGTCTGGTAATTTGAGGCTGTGTGGGATCAAAAATATCCAGCTGTTTCTGATTCTCAAACTGAGGCAATGATAAGAATTAACTAGAGAGGCAGTTTTGTTAAAAAAAAAATCTTTGATATTAATATTAGGGAAAACTGGGTGAGGGGCTTACAGAAACATTCTATATTATCTTTGTAACTTTTCTGTAAATCTAAAATTATTCAAAAATGCAAAAGCATATTAAAAAAACAAATACAAAAATATCAGCCCCAATTAGTTCTCAAGCCTATAAAAGCTTGTTTTACCTTTAAAAAAAATCTTCCGAGCCGGGCTCAGTGGCTCAGCCTGCAATCCCGCACCTTTGGGAGGCTGAGGTGAGTGGATTGCCTGAGCCTGCGGGTTCAAGAACTACCTGGACAACTTGGTGAGTCCTCATCTCTAAAACAAATCAAAAATAAGCCGGGCGTGGTAGCATGCGCCTGTAGTTCCAGCTACTTGGAAGGCTGAGGCGGAAGGATCGCCGGAGCCCAGCAGGTCGAGACTGCGGTGGCCAGGAGCGGCCACTGCACTCCAGTCTGGGCAACAGAGTGAGACTCCAACTCAAAATAAATAAATAAATAAAAATTAAAAAAAAAAAAAAAAATCTTCTAGACTTCTAAAACTTCTAGCCTCCAGGACACTTCTAAACTTGCACAAAGCAGGCTACAAAAGTTATGTGGCCCTGATGAAGAACAGTATTCAAAATCTGCCCCAGTGACAGCTTTCAAAGAAAACAGAAAAAAGAAAATCTACAACAGGGGTCACATGAAGTATAACGGGTAAGGGAACAGAAAGTTTTATTGTGATTATTCTGTACCTACTCTAGCAACGTATAATGACGTGTGCTTGTAGACTAGAGGCAGGATATACAGATTAACTTGTCTTTTAGTTTTGGGGTATCAGACCATGAAGGGCACGGTCCTAGGCATATTTGGACCTTATGGAGAAGACTGCATCTAGACAGAAGGATCACTCAGACATCCTAAACTCTGAGCTAGATATGATATTCACATGAGACTTGGAACCTGTCTCCATTAGGATGAGCATAAGGGTGTTCCATGTATGGGAAGAATGGTTAACTGGGTTATTTCAGTGGCCAGAGGAGTAAACTAAGGTAGGCTATTAGCTAGCTGTCCTCATGTAACCACTGTATCTTTGTGCCAAAATAGTCAAAACTTAGGCATAGTACCCAGACTTTCCCAAAACTTTATATTAACTATGTGACTAATACGATATGCACAAAAGCGGTGTATACAATTATCTGGCCAATGTGATATGCACAAAAGTGGTGTGTACAATTTCCAGTCTAGCAGTATGTACTCCCTTTGCTCCTTTCCACTAACAGGAAAGGAAACATAAAAGTGGACTAAAGCAACTATCTTGGTCCACAAAATGGGAGCTACTTATTAAGGATGACAGATCAACAAGATATAAGGAATCTGATCCATGGTGATTACAGTTTGAGACACCAGTTCTATCACCTACTCAGACTTTTACATGTATTACAGCAGTAAACCAGTTAACATTTAAAGTTTCTGTGGCTTTTCCCCAACTCCCTTCTGAAGTACTGATTGATAACTGTTATTCTCTCCTGAAAGATAACAAAACATTCCTTGCATAAAAAGAAAGAGAGCCGGGCTCGGTGGCTCAGCCTGTAATCCCGCGCCTTTGGGAGGCTGAGGTGAGTGGATTGCCTGAGCCCGTGGGTTCGAGACCCACCTGGGCAACTTGGCAAGACCTCATCTCTACAATAAATCAAAAAATTGGCCAGGCGTGGTAGCATGGGCCAGTAGTTCCAGCTACTTGGAAGGCTGAGGCGGAAGGGTCGCCGGAGCCCAGCGGGTCGAGGCTGCGGTGGCCAGGAGCAGCCACTGCACTCCAGTCTGGGCAACAGAGTGAGACTCCAACTCAAAAAAAAAAAAAGAAAAAAGAAAAGAAAGAGGATTATGAGCTGATAACTGCCTGCTACAGATTCCCTTTTGTTTAACCCAGAAAATGCCTCTGAAAGGCTAATGCTCCCTGCCTAGAACCTAAGTAGGTTCACCTCTTTTTACCCTGAGGCTAATATTTTACACGAGTAAAGTAAATAATAATAATATTTTTAAAGCATAAAGAAGAAGAAGAATGGGGTTCACACTAAAACAGCAGCCAACAAGGAACACTTGTTTAGAGTTCTTCAGCTCTAGTCTTCCTTTAAGCATTGCAGATTTAAAAAAGCAGGATAGGCTAGGCACAGTAGCTCATACTTATAATCCTAGAACTTTGGGAGGCTTAGGCAGGAGGATCGCTTGAGAGTAGAAGGCAAGTCTCGGCAACATAGTGAGACCGTGTCTCTACAAACAAGCAAACAAGGCAGAATAGGAGAGATGCAATGAAATGACCAAAGCAATACCAATGGCCAATTTCCCGCTCTATTGAGCCTACAGTCTATGATCACCAAAACTCTTTAAATTCTGCTGTGCTATCTTTGAAACTCTCATAAATTAAACACAATTTTTCAATTATCTCCAATGGTTATAATTACCAGTAAAATAAACACTGATCTAGTGCCACAAAGGCCCTAAAAGTAGATGGGGCATGGTGGCTCATGCCTGTAATTCCAGCACTTTGGGAGGCCAAGGTGGGAGGCTAGCTTAAGGACAGGAGTTCAAGACCACCCTGGATAACATAGTAAGATCCTATCTCTTAGAAAAATAAAAAAATTAGCCAGGGAAGGTGGTGATTGCCTGCAGTGTTTGGAGGCTAAGGTGGGAAGACTGCTTGGGCCAAGGCATTTGAGGCTGCAGTGATCTATGACTGCACCACCGCATTCCAGCTTGAGTGACAGAGTGAGTCCCTGTCTCTAAAAACATAATAATAATAAAAACAAACAAAAACATCATTCCTTCAATCGTACTCAGTGGTTATAATTACCAGTAAAGGAAACACTGATCTAGTACCATAAAGGCTCTTAAAGCAACTTACGATGATGAATCATTTTCCTTAGGATAATCTTCATTCAACTCTGAGCCAGATAACACTCTTTTCCTCTTTTCAGTCCTACAGAGAGCAGAGATAAAAGGTTACTTTTAAAAAGTCATAATTCATATGACTAAAAATTATAATCTACTATATTCAAGGACAGGAAATGCGACCACTGTTTCTAATTCTTTTTTTTTTTTGGAGTTAGAGTCACTCTGTCGCCCAGGCTGGAGTGCAGTAGCACGCTCACAGCCACCACAGCCTCAACCTGCTGGGCTCAGGTGATCCTTCCGCTTCAGCCTTCCAAGTAGCTGGAACTACAGACACGTGCCACCATGCCGGCTAATTTTCTGATTTAATGTAGAGATGAGGTCTTGCCAGATTGCCCAGGCTGTTCTTAAACAGTGGGCTCAGGCAATCCTTCATTTCGACCTCCTAAAGTGCTGGGATTACAGGTGTGAGCCACAGCACCTGGCCATCTAATTCTTTACACCATATTTAACCCTTTTCCTATTTGTCCCAAAAATACGTGCTGGTGGCGCTTACAGCAGCAGTATTCGTTTACCCCAAGGTAACTCGTAGACTGCAGTTAACCTTACCCCCAAAGTTTGCCACTAAACATCTTGCTTCTATTATTTTTACCATCTATTATCTAGTATATCAATAGGCTAGTATATCGATAGTCTTTGGAAACAAATGACATCCTTCTATTTAGAGCATTTTGTTTTTAGTAGTGGTATTTCCATTTACAAAATATAGTAATTCTCTTTTTCTTTTTTATAAATTCTTTTAGAATTAGAGACAAGTCTTATTAGAAATAATTCCAAGAACAGTTTTTATATTTTTCACATTGAAAAGCTAGTCAGATTTACTTCAGCTTCAAAGAGCATGTTATATAAAATTGAACATGGCAGCAAGACGCATTTTTTTTCCTAAACAGGAAATAGGTTAAATTGATAAACTGTATAGCTGCATGGGCAATATATGTACTGACACAATCACCATATGACAAGTACTTGCAATCCTTTACCAAAAACTGTATTCAACTTCTTTTTCTCCACAAATTATTAGACATTCTAAAAGGCCTATAGGACATTTATAAACAGGTACACCTAATGATGAAGGAAAAAAGTCTTTCCTACCGGTTTTCTAGCAACCCTGATCTAAGAGGTGTTGATGTAGATGTCAAAGAAGGAATCGTCCGAGTAACAGCCATTGCACTTCCTGCTACAGTCTTAATCGATCCTCTACCTGGATTACCAAGTACTTTTCGAAATGGAATATCATCTTTTGTTTCCAAATTTCCTCTTTTTGAAGAGGCCTGTAAGGATAAAGTTTGAGAAGTTAAATCTTCAAATTAATTGAAATACTTTTAGATCAGCAATTGTCAAAAGGGAAGCTTCAAAAAATGCCAATAGAGCCGGGCTTGGTGGCTCAGCCTGTAATCCCACACTTTGGGAGGCTGAGGTGAGTGGACTGCCTGAGCCTGCGGGTTCGAGACCTGCCTGGACAACTTGGCGAGACCTCATCTCTACAACAAATCAAAAAAAAAAAATTAGCCAGACGTGGTAGTGCGTGCCTGTAGCTCCAGCTACTTGGAAGGCTGAGGCGGAAGGATCGCCGGAGCCCAGTAGGTCGAGGCTGTGGTGGCCGGGAGCATGCCACTGCACTCCAGTCTGGGCGACAGAGTGAGACTCCAACTCAAAAAAATTAAATAAATAAATAAATAAATAATGCAAATGGAGTCAGGTGCAGTGGCTCCCCTATCTGTAATCCCACCCCAATGGGAGGACAACTTGAGGTCAGGATTTGGCAACAATGTGAGACCCCCATCTCTACAAAAAATTTTTAAAAATTGGCAGGCATGGCAATGCAGGCCTGTAGTCCTAGCTACTCGGGAGGCTGAGGTGGGAAGATCCATTGAGCCAAGAGTTTGAGGCTGCAGTGAGGTATGATCACACCACTGCACCCCAGCCGAGGCAACAGAGCAAGTACCTAGCCTCTAAAAAAAAAAAGTTGATATGTCTCTAGAGATTTTACCATTATTGGTCTGGGGTGAGGCTTATTCATCAGTTTTTTGGCTTTTATTTTAAGGATTCCAGTTGATTCTAATATATAGTCAGTGTGAGAAACTGAGTGTGTGACATTTATTTTCCTCCAGCGTTCTTGAAAACTTGAAAATTTTACAGGACATCTGGAGGTAGAAGGCAAGAAGCCTGTTTTGAATTCCTAATTTAAAAAAAAAGAGAGAGAGCTGGGCTCAGTGGTTCAGCCTGTAATCCCGTGCTTTGGGAGGCTAAGGTGAGTGGATTGCCTGAGCCCACGGGTTCGAGACCTCATCTCTACAATAAATCAAAAAATTAGCCAGGTGTGGTAGTGCACGCCTGTAGTTTCAGCTACTTGGAAGGTTGAGGTGGAAGGATCACTGGAGCCCAACAGGTTGAGGCTGCGGTGGCCGGGAACGTGCCACTGCACTCCAGCCTGAGTGACAGAGTGAAACTCCAACTCAAAAAAAAAAAAAAAAAAAGAGAGAGAGACACACAAAGACATGGCTCTAATGACCAGCATGGGAACTGATCTTTGGAGAAAAAAATATTCAATTATGATTATGATAAGTCAAGAATGAACAACAATGACATTTAGTTACCATACTTAAAAACCAACAAAATAGTATCATGACTCTTGGGAAGGTTCTAGTTTAGAGTAATCGAACAAATCATAGGGAGAGGGAAGGTGAAATAGAGTTCACCAACAGAAGACTAACCAAGTCTACCCCCAAAGACACAGCAAAAACATTCAGAGAGAATATAGCAATGTAAACTTTAGAGCTTTACACGATACTCTACTAGTTAAGTTTTACAACTCTACATTAAGAACTATGTGATTTCTCTATGAAAGATATGTCCAATTACTTTCTTTTTACAGAATTATAGTCTTAGGATAGGAAATTTTAAAACCTCTAAGATTAAATGGATTAATGGTTTAAAAGTTAAGTTTATTTTCAAGTGGATGATAAATTCTCAAGGCTCAAAAATTAAAGTAATATTAGAAGCCATAGATAGAGAAATCTTACTATCATCCCCTTCCCACCCACTCAGTTCTTATAAATATCCTTCCCTTGTTTTGTTATGCTAATAAAAACAATTTTAAATTATTTTTGCTATGCAAATGATAGTACATTATATGTACAATTTTGAAACTTTCAAAATTTTGACCACAACCCTAAAGAAACATTTTACATCAGAACCTACTATACATACATATAAATAAAACCAAAATAAAAGTTTCAAAAGTCAACATTTACCTTTTGTTTCATTTGTTTCAGTTAGGTTCTCACCCTGTTACCCAGACTAGAGTGAGGTAGCACGATCATGGCTCAGTGCAGCCTCAACTTCCTGGGCTCAAGCGATCCTCCAGCCTCAGTCTCCCAAGTAGCTAGAACTATAGGTACATGCTAACATTTCTAGCTAATTTTTAAATTTTTTTTTGTAGGGACAAAATTTTACTATGCTGCCTAGGCTGGTGTCAAACTCCTGGACTCAAAAGATCCTACCACTTCAACCACCAACAATAATCAAAACAGCCTGGTACTGGTACAAGAACAGGCTCATAGACCAACAGGAACAGGATAGAGATTCTGGAAGCAAAGCCTCAATTTCTCAACCAACTCATCTTTGACAAAATCTCCCCAACCACTGGGGAGAGGAGAACCTATTCAGTAAATGGTGCTGGGCAAACTGGCTAACCACAGGCAGAAGATTGAAACAGGACACCTACCTATCACCATACACAAAAATTAACTCTAAAAGGATCAAATAACTAAACATAAAGCCTTAAACTATAAGAATCTTAGAAAATGCAGGAGACACCCTTATGGAAATTGGAACTGGCAACCAATTCCTGATCAGAACCCTAAGTGCCCATACCATAAGAAATAAGATAGGGGCAACCCCTTTGGGTCCCCTCCCACTGTAGGAGTTTTTGTCAATAAATTCTGATTTCTCAAAAAAAAAAAAAGAAAAAAGAAATAAGAGAGATAAGTGGGACCTTATCAAACTGATAAGCTTCCGCAAAGCAAAACAAACTGTCAAGAGAGTGGGGAGATAGCCCACAGAATGGGAAAAAATAATTGCCAACAGTATATCTGACGAAGACCTAACATCTAGGATCTACAAGGAACTCAAACATGCAGAAAGGAAAAAAACAAACACCCCCCACTAAAAAGTGGGCAAAAGACATGAATAGATACTTCTCAAAAGAAGAAATACGTGCAGCCAACAGACACATAAAAAAGTGCTCAGCCTCACTAATCATCAAAGAAATGCAAATCAAAACCACACTGAGATACCACCTAACCCCAGTAAGAATGGCCTCCTTAATAAAACAACAGATGCTGGCGAGGATGGGGAGAAAAAGGAACATTTCTACACTGCTAGTGGGAATGCAAAGTAGTGCAACCTCTTTGGAAGACAGTGTGGCGATTTCTGAAAGAACTGGAAATGGACCTTCCATATGATCCAGTAATTCCCCTATTGGGAATATACCCGGAGGAACTCAAATCATTCTACAAAAAAGATATCTGCACACGTATGTTTGTTGCAGCTCTATTCACAATACCAAAAACATGGAACCAACGATGCTGCCCATTGAAGCTGGACAGGATTAAAAAAAAAAAGGTAGTACATATGCACAATGAAATATTATGCAGCCATAAAGAAGGACGAACATATGGACTTCGCAGCAACTTGGATGGACTTAAAGTCGATCATACTCAGTGATCTATCACAGAAACAAAGAACAGAGTACCATATGTTCTCACTCATAAGTGGACCTTGAACAATTATAATACTATAAGAAAGGGATCAGCAGTAGTGGGAAACTGTCAGGAGAGAGGGGGTGGGATTGGCAGTTAAGGGAAACTGCTAGGGGAGAGAGGAGCACACCTCATCAACAAGGGTGCCTGCATAATCAGTGTTTGTATACCTAATCTTGAATTGTACCCCACATCTTTAAAATTAAAAAAAAATTCCAACAATTTAAATTCCTACCTACAAATGTATCTCAAAATAATTATACTGAGTGAAGGAAGCCAGACTCCAAACCCCCAAAAATGATATATTGATTCCATTTATTCATATATAAAACTCCAGAAAATACAACCTAATCTATAGTGACAGAAAGCATATCAGTGGTTATTTCTGAACAAGGACCAGAGAGGAGGATTACAAAGTGGGACGAAGACTTTTAAGGGTTATGTTGATTATGGTGATGATTTTAAGGATGTATACATAAGTCAAAACATATCAAACTGTACTTTAACTTATGTACAGTTTACTGGATATTATACCGCAATAAAAATGTCTCCCCAAAAACTTAACCCATAAAAAGAATCTAACAAAAATGAAAATTACTCATTGCTTAGTCCAGTAAATGGACTAAGTAATCAATCTCCTCTTTGCACAGCCAAACAGAACACATAAATTTACTTACAAATGAGTTTCAAAGTTTCTCTCACTTTATGACTGGTTTTCCTTTGCAAAACCAATTAAAAGAGACATATGGACTGCTAAGTTGCAGTAAAAGTATTTACTGGTGCACAGCAAGCCTCACAACTAGCTACATAATATTTATAAAAGAAATACTATTTAAACAGCTAAAGTAGGAAATGGTGGTTCATGCCTGTAATTTCAGCTACTCAGGAGGAAGGCCAAAGAGGGAGGACTGTTTTGAGTCCAGGAGTTCAAGACCAGCCTAGGAAACAGAAAGATCGCCCCATCTTAGAGAGAAAAAAACAAATTATTAATAAAGCAAACAGAAGATCTCAACAAAACAGCCTGGTATCCTATAGTATAGAGGCAATGTTCATAATATAGAACAGGTTCAAAGGGCATCAGAGATAAAACAGCAGCAAAGCATTTATAGGGCTGTTAGTATGTGATACCATATACAGTAGGTTAAGCACTTTTACATGCATTACCTCATGTAATGAGCAACCTTTCAAAATATTATTGCTGTCTCGGTTTTACAGATGAGTTTTGAGGTTCCAGAATACTAAAGGAACTTCCCCAGTGATCCACAGCTATTAAATGGCAGAACCAAGTCTTGTACCTACATCTAACTCCAAAGCCATGCCTTTAAAAACTACAACCTACTGTGGTTCACAATGATGCTCATGAGACATCAAAGACTGTGTTTAACAAAACTACACGTAAAAAGGGAATAATGTGATCAACAGTAGAACGATTTTCATAAAAATCACTGCAGAGATTGAGATGGCTAAAATGATAAATTTCAGATATGTAGAAAATACCCTTGTGTCAATGCCAGAAAAACTAGGCATTACAGCCTAAATCCTACTTCTTGAAACTACCTTATACAATGTCTATAACTTATTAATTTTTTAAAAAGCTAAAATAATTCAAAAGAACATACCTGATTGTCTGAGTAAGAAAGTTGTCTGTTGGTTTCCTTTTGTGAGGTCCTGCTGCCCAGAATGGCTCCAAAACTACCAGACCCCTGAGAAGGTTTCACAGCTGGTGACCAAAAAAAAACAAAAACAAAAACAAAAAACCCCAAGTCACTACTTCAATAAAAAAATTTATCATTATTTTTAAATAATATTGAGGATATGGAAGCAGTAGCAGCAGGAAAAAAATAAAATCAAAGTGTTTATCAACCAATTCTTTCTGACAAAATGTACATCATATATATATGCAGTAACTAAACTTTTTTTTTTAGAGACAGGGTCTCATTCTGTCTCTAAAGTGGAGGGCAGCAGCACTATCTACAGTTCACTGCAGCTCAAACAATCTGAGTAGCTGCGACTAAAGGCTCATGCCATCATGCCTGGCTACTTTTTTTTAAAATTTTATGCAGAGACAGGTCTCACTATGTTGCCCAGGCTGTGAAATATCAAACAAAAAAATTAAATAACACAAAAATCTGAGAACATTTAATAGAAGGATAAAATACAAAGCAAAAAAAAAAAAAGCTATAAATTCTCCAATATAAATATTTGCTGGCCAGGCTCAGTGGCTCAGCCTGTAATCCCAGCACTTTGGGAGGCCAAGGTGAGTGGACTGTCTGAGCCCGCAGGTTCCAGACCCGCCTGGGCAACTTGGCGAGACCTCATCTCTACAATTAAAAAAAAAAAATTAGCCGGGCGTGGTAGCGCGTGCCTGTAGTTCCAGCTACCTGGAAGGCTGAGGTGGAAGGATCGCCAGAGCCCAGCAGGTCGAGGTTGCGGTGGCTGGGAGTGGCCACTGCACTCCAGTCTCGGTGACAGAGTGAGACTCTAACTCAAAAAAAAAAAATTACTGTATAATTTGGTTAGCCAATTTTTCATTCCAAGATCACTTAGAATGTTTCAATTTTTCAAGATTGCAACCAATACTTAACATCCATTCACAAATCTTCTTCTACTAATGGAATGACTTTTGTAAGATAAACGTAGAATAAGAATTGCTGGGTTTGCCAAGCATGGTGGCTCATACCTGTAATCTTAGCACTTTGGGACGTGGAGGCCAGAGGTTTGCCTGAGCTCTGGGGTTCAAGACCAGCCTGGGCAACTTTGCAAGACCTCGCCTCTACAATAAATCAAAAAATTAGCTGGTTGTAATGGCATGTGCCTGTACTTCCAGTTACATGGAAGGCTAAGGCAGGATTGCTGACCCAGTAGGCCAAGGATGTGTCAGCTGTAAGCATGCCACTACACTCCAATCTGGGTGACAGTAAGACCGACTCAAAAAAAAAAAAAAGGAATTGCTAGGTTAAAGGACATACAATTTTAAACTAAATTGACATTACCGCATAATCCTCCAAAAAAAAAAAAAAGACTCGAAGTTTCTTCCCTTCACACTGCTGCCAATGTAGTTGTAAGAAGCTGAGTTTTTAAAATTATGGGTGAAGTTGAGATTTTTTTCACGAGTAAGGGACATCTATTTTTCTCTCTGAATTCCCTATTTGCAGTTTTTGTCCATTTTTCTACCAGTTGTCTTTTTTCTTACTGATTTACAAAATAGGTCTTTCTATATTAACAATATTAACTTTGTCATGCTGGTTAGTATGTTCTTCCTTTCTTTTTTTTTCTTGCCAGAGAGATTGTCTAAATGGCTTACACAGTCTATCAATCTTTTCCTTTATTGGTTCTAATTTTTATATAATACCTAGAAAGGTCTTTTCTATCTACAGATTATGTTAAAGTCTAATCCCTCCTCTTACTTTCAATTTTTTTTGTAGAGACAGGTCTTGCTATGTTATTCAGGCTGGCCTCTAACTCCTGGCTTCAATCGATCCTTGCACCATGACCTCCCAAAAGCTGGAATTTCAGGCATGAGCCATTGCATTTGGCCCCACTTTCCCCTTAATACTGCTATAATTTTATTTTTGTACACTGAAATCTTTGATCAGCATGCAATCTATTTACTAGTGTTATTTTTATTAAAAAAAAATTTTTTTTTAATTGGATTCTCACTCTGTCAGGCTGGAGTGCAGTGGCATGTTCATGGCTACTACAGCCTCAACCTCTTGGGCTCAGGCAATCCTTCCGCCTCAGCCTTCCAAGTAGCTGGTACTACAGGCATGCACCACCATGCCCAGCTAATTTTTTGATATACTGTAGAGGTAAGGTCTCGCCATGTTGCCCAGGTTGTTTTTATCTTCTGAGCTCAGTCAATCCTCTCATCTCAGCCTCCAAAAGTGCAGGGGATTACAGGTATGAGCGATAGCATCCGGTTTTGAAACCTATTTAGATGAAGGTAAGGATCCATTTCTACTATCTTCCTAAATGTTATCAGCTAGTTGCCCTGTTTGTAGGTAACACTGTTTTTCAGATATTAGTCTTTTGTCCACTGATTTGAAATGCCATGCTTATATTAAATGCTTTATACTTTTCAAAGTCCTTCTATATTCATTATGACTCCAGTCTCTGCAAAGCATACAAGTCATTTTTTGGCAGCTAAGGCAATTAGACCTAGAAGATTAAAATGCCTTACCCTAGATCACAGAATGAATTAAAAGTAAAGCCCACAGCTATCTAACTCTAATTAAACATCAGTGACTTATTAAGTGCCTACCATATGGAAGTCATGCTTTATGTTTATGAGCACTCATACTTTAAAAAAAAATCCCAAAATTAAAGTGATATAACCTTCATTTTAGAGATGAGGAAACTAAAATTCAGATTTGTTAAGTTCTGAATCCACACAGGAAATAACAAGCAGAACTAAAATTCCAATCCAAATCTGTGTAAGGCCAAAGCCCATATTTTTCCAGTATGTTATGTTGTTTTAACTTAGTCAAAAGACTTAAATTTGCAATATACAGATAATTTATTGTGCTTTCCACCCTAATGTATTTAAAAACATGCTTTTCTTACACATAAATTGTTAAGACAGTGATTAAGTTAGTACAATGGGTATGATGAAATAAAACTAAAACAGAGATAGAGATATAGACCCCACCATATTCTAAGAATTTTAAATAGTACTCAATTTCTTGATGCTAAAATTCAAGAGTTTAGTAAATTAACATAGCTCAGGTTTAGTGGCATAACCACATAATGACTAGTTATTAAATGGCAAGCAACCACAAAAAGTTATTATTTGACAAGGAGAAAAATATACCTTCATTTCTCAGTATTTTTTATGTTATAGTAAAGTTGGAAAAACTCAATTAAAAGTCTGTCAGCTGTAAAACATAAGTAATAGTAAAGTATTGATGATGACAGAGAGTAACAATAACAGTGAAAAACTCATTTTAAACAACAGATTATTCCTTAAAAAAAAAAAGGCCTGTGGCCAGGCTCAGGGGCTCAGCCTGTAATCCCAGCACTTTGGCAGACCGAGGCAAGGGGACTGCCTGAGTCCATGGGTTTAAGACTAGTCCAGGCAACATGATGAGATCTCGTCTCTACAATAAAATTTTTAAAAATAGCCAGGCATGGCAGTGCGCATCTGTAGTTCTGGCTACTTGGAATGCTGAGGCGGAAGGATCGGTGGAGTCCAGCAGGTCGATGCTGGGGTGGCCGTGAGTGTGCCACTGCACTCCAGCCTGGGCGACAAAGACTCCAACTCAAAAAAAAAAAAAAAAAGCCTATGGATGGGCGTGGTGTGGCTCCCACTTATAATCCCAGCATTTTGGGAGGCCGAGGTGAGAGGACTGTCTAAGCTCACAGGTTCGAAACCAGCCTGGTCAATTTGGTGAGACCTCATCTCTACAATAAAATCAAAAAGTTAGCCAGGCATGGTGATGCATGCCTGTAGTTCCAGCTACTTGGAAGGCTGAGGCAGAAAGATCGCCTGAGCCCAGCAGGCCACGAGTGTGCCACTGTACTACAGACTGGGTGACAGAGTGAGACTCCGACTCAAAAAAAAAAGTCCCGTAAGGCCGGACTCAGTGATTCAGCCTGTAATCCAGCACTTTGGAAAGCTGAGGCGAGTAGATTGCCTGAGCCCGTGGGTTCGAGATCAGTCCGGGCAACTTGGCGAACCCTTGTCTCTACACTAAATAAAAAATTAAGCTGGGCTCGGTGGCTCAGACTGTAATCCTGCGCTTGGGAGGCTGAGGTGAGTGGACTGCCTGAGCCCGTGGGTTCGAGACCCACCTGGGCAACTTGGTGAGACCTCATCTCTACAATTAAAAAAAAAAAAAAATTAGCCAGGCATGGTAGCACGCGCCTGTAGTTCCAGCTACTTAGAAGGCAGAGGCAGAAGGATTGCCGGAGCCCAGCAGGTCGAGGCTGCGGTGGCCGGGAGCATGCCACTGCACTCTAGTCTGGGAAACAGAGTGAGATTCTACCTCAAAAAAAAAAAAAAGAGAGATAAAATATACCTTCATTTCTCAGTATTTTTTATGTTATAGTAAAGTTGGAAAAACTCAATTAAAAGTCTGTCAGCTGTAAAACATAAGTAATAGTAACTAAACTTTTACTATACTAAACTTTTTTTTTTTTTAGAGACAGGGTCTCACTCTGTCTCTAAAGTGGAGGGCAGCAGCACAGTTCACTGCAGCTCAAGCAATCTGAGTAGCTGGGACTAAAGGCTCATGCCATCACGCCTGGTTACTTTTTTTGGCTTGATGTGGTGGTGCACACCTGTAGTTCTGGATATTTGAAAGGCTAAGGTGAAAAGATCACCTGAGCCCAGCAGGTCGAATGCAGTGGCTGTAAGACTCTGACTCAAACAAAAAAAAAAAGGGGGCCAGTAGTTGAGTGTAGTGTTTCACACTTATAATCCCAGCACTGTAGGAGGTAGAGGCGAGAGGATTGCCTGAGCCCAGGGGTTCAAGACCAGCCTGGGCAACTTGGCAAGATCTTGGCTATACAACAAATCAAAATATTAGCCAGGCGTAGTGCTGTGTGTCTACTGTTCCAGCTACTTGGAAGGCTGAGGAGGTAGGATCACCTAAGCCCAGCAGGTCATGGATGCAGTAGCCGTGAGCATACCACTGCAATACATCCTGGGCGAGAGAGTGAGATTCCAACTCAAAAACAAAAAACAAAAAACAAAAAAACCCAATCTTTTTCTGAAAATACAGTTTATTTAGAAAGTATACTAGAGAGTGAGAGGAAGAGGCGATCTACCTCCCCAAGATAGGGGAGGGGGCCAAAGCTTAGGGAAACATGGCCTGACCATAGTTCAAAGAGCCACATGACCAGACCAGAGTTTAGTAAGCAAAAGCAATGCCCCACCCCCCACCTCCCACCAAGTGCCTTTTTTTTTTGGATTAAAAGAAAACAAGACCGGGCATGGTGGCTCATGCCTGTAATTGCAGCACTTTGAGAAGAGGAGGAGAGAGGACTGCCTGAGTTCAGGAGTTTTGAAACTAGCCTGGGGAACTTGGTGCGACCTTGTCTCCACAATAAATCAAAAAATTAGCCAGGCAGTGTGGTGCATGCCTGTTGTCCCAGCAATTTGGAAGGCTGAGGCAGAAGAAACACCTGATTCCAACAGTTTGAGGCTGCAGTGGCTGAGATCGTGCCTAGGCAACAGCGACTCTGACTCAAAATATATACATATATATATATTTTTTAGCATATATATATATTTATATGTATTTTTTTTTAATGGAAGAGGTTGGAGAAGGTAGGGGAATCTGATCATATTGCATGATTATTTTTTATACACTCATTTTTCACAGCAGAAATAAATCCTTGGAATAGGTTTCATATAGACAGGCAAGTGCCTAAAATTTACATAACAAGGTAACTTTCCCCAACTGTTAATTTAAATCCTCCTATTTCTAGTCAACATTCTTCTGTGGAATCTTTAAAGTTTTCTACATACAAGATGAAGTTGCCTACAAACCTATAATTTTAATTCTTCTTTTCCAATTTGAATACCTGCTATTTCTTTTTCTTACCTAACTGCTCTGGCTAAGACACTCAGCACTATGTTGAATAGAAGTAGCAAGAGCAGGCATACTTGCCTTGTTATTATCTCAGAGGAAAAGATTCTAGTTTTTCACCATTGAGTATGATATTAGCTACAGGTTTTTCATATACAGCTTTTACTACTCCTAGTTTGTTACGTGTTTTTATCATGAAAAGGTGTCGAATTTTGTCACATACTCTTCTGCATCAAATGAGATGATCATGTAGTTCCAGTCCTTTTTTGTCAATGAGGTATACTATACAGATTGATTTTTCATATGTTAAACCATGCTTGAATTCCAGGAATAAATCCCACTTGCTCATGGTGTATAACACGTTTAATGTGCTTATTGAATTCCGTTCACTAGTATTTTGTTGAGGATTTCTGCATCAATATTAATAAGAAATACTGGTCTGCAATCTAGTCATATTCTTTTAAAACTGTTAATGTCAGACCCCGGGACGATTCACGCTCACCTGTATGAAGTCTGTTTTGATGAACCGCATCTAGAAACAACCTCATTTCCTCTGCATCCTTACTTGGTACCTTGTCAATAGACAAGAAGCTGTTATCCTGTAGAGTTAACATTAGGCGGCTTTGTTTTGCTCCACTGGGTCGAAGCACCACATTTTTAATGTTATGACTTAGCTAATCAAAACAAAAGGAAAATTATTTTATCATCAAATAATAACGGAGCATAATAATTTGTATAACACTAAATTTTATACCTTCCAAGTTATATTTCTCACTCTTCTCCATAGTAATTTAATTTTTTTAACCAAAAAGAGTTCCCAATTCTTGATACATTTAAATCAAAGATTTAACTTTTAGGAGACGTTAACACATACAGTAATTCCTTAATTTAATAATGTCAGTGGGTTCTTGAAAACTGACTTTAAGCAAAGGCACATACAGCTGGTCCTCAAATAACAGAATTTCTTTCAATGACGTTTCACTGTAATGTTGATGAGGAAAAAAGACTGGTTACATCATACATCATTTCACTTCAGATCAGTTTTCAAGAACCTCACAACAATGTTAAGTGAGGAGTTATTCTATTATTAACGCTTTGTACTCAGAGATTTCTTAGGGATCACCCACCAGCAAGATGACTGCACTTTATGAAATAGTGAAAAATGAATCACTTCATATTAAATAGTATAGCATTGGAAACAACTATTTTGCTGTAATGATATTTGGCTTACAATGGAATTGTGGACATTAAGGAACTTATTTATTTATTTACATATGTATTTTTGAGAGTTAGAGTCTTACTCTGTTGCTCAGACTGGAGTGCAGTGGCATGCTCATAGCCACCGCAGCCTCGACCTACCGAGCTTAGGTGATCCTTCCACCTCAGCCTTCCAAGTAGCTGAACTATAGGCATGCCCCACATTGCCCCACTAATTTTTTAATTTTTAACTTTAGAGACGAGGTCTCACCATGTTGTCCAGGCTCGTCTTGAACCCGTGGGCTCAGGCAATCCTCTCGCCTCTGCCTCCCAAAGAACTGGGATTACAGGAATGAGCTACCACACCTGGCAAGGAACTTATTTATGATCCAAAAATCAAAATTTTAAGCCAGGTGCAGTGGCTGGTGAGAGGATTGCCTGAGCCCACAAGTTTGAGACCAGCCTGGAAAATTTGGCGAGACCTCATCTCTACAATAAATCAAAAAATTAGCCAGGCATGGTGGTACATGCCTGTTTTCTCAACTACTTAGAAGGTTGAGGTGGAAGGATCACCTGAGCCCAGCAGGCCAAGGCTACGGTGGCTGTGAGTATGCACCACTGCACTCCAGCCTGGGTGACAGAGTGAGACTACAACTCAAAAAATAAAAATAAGCCGGGCTCGGTGGCTCAGCCTATAATCCCGCACCTTTGGAGGCTGAGGTGAGTGGATTGCCTGAGCCCACGGGTTTGAGACCCACCTGGCCAACTTGGCGAGACCTCATCTCTACAATAAATCAAAAACTAGCCGGGTGTGGTAGCACGTGCCTGTAGTTCCAGCAACTTGGAAGGTTGAGACGAAAGAATTGCCGGAGCCCAGCAGGTCAAGGCTGCGGTGGCCAGGAGTGGCCACTGCATTCCAGTCTGGGCGACAGAGTGAGACTCCAACTCAAATAAATAAATAAATAAATAATAAATAAATATAAAAATAAGCTGGGTGTGGTAGCATAGTTCCAGCTTCTTAGAAGGCTAAGGCAGAAAGATCACCTGAGCCTAGCAGGTCAAGGCTTCAGTGGCTGTGACTGTGCCACTGCACTCCAGCCTGGGCAACAGAGTGAGACTCAAAAACAAAACAAAACAAAACAAAACATCAAAATTTTGTATCTTGTATTTTTCTAACGTGGTAATACGTAAAACAGTCATCTTCATGCCTTGCAGGTCCACTGATACATGTTTGACATCTTCCACCTGGTATTTTTCTATTCAGGCATACAATGCAATCTTGTTTTCTTCCTCCAACATTAATAATATAATTTATTGTCCAGTCTATTGTTTAAAGATATGGAAAGATGTACTCATGATTCCTGAAAACCACTTTTCAAGTGATTGTATCTCAGTATATATTCCATCTCTTTATTTGCTTTTTCAATTTGAATGGAAAACTTCAAGGAAACATACATTTTTTAAAAAATTTGTGCTTACATAACTTTGTCCCATATAATCACCAGCAATCTCTTTATGTCCCCTGAGAGGGGATATCAGAGTAGTTTGCTAGATTTATGATGTCCCCTCAGAGGGAACTTCCAAGTACAAAGGTTCAAAATTAATTTTACAGAGTAATTCTAGCACTCTTGATCTTAAGGTAGGGAATCCTCTATTTTCAGATATAGTTTTAGAGGATAAAAACTAGTGAGTTAACAATTTTCAGAGTCTGAAGGCTATACTATTACCAGTTTAGAAAACCAATTGGATTAGTGTCTTTTCTTTTTCATTTTTAAAACAAGCTTGTAAGATATTTAGCAGATTGCTTAGTTAGCTGTAATGTAAAAGTATACATTAATCCAAGCAATTAAACAATCCTCAAAAGAATTCCTAACTCTCAAAAACACATCAAAAATAATCCTTTACCAACATAAGAACATCTTTTTTTCTTAACTGTCTAAGAAGACTCAATTTTTATTCAATCACAAAGATCACTCAGGGTAGCATGCACCCTGGAATTCTTAGCTTATTAATACTCCCCCACAGAACTGATTTGATCATTCATCTAAATTTTCCCAAACTTTGGAAATGTCCTATGAAGCAATAACTTTTATTTTCTCTTAGATGGAATTTTTACAAAGCTAAATTAGTGGATTGTATAGTTTATTATCTAAATAATTCCTGCCAGCCAGGCAGCCTCATTCTCCTCAGCAAACATCATAAAGGTTTCTAAAGCTGTCTTTTGCTGAAGACATACTCTCTTGAACAGCATAAACAAAGAAGTAATAACATATTCACAATTTTTTTCAACTAGGGAGAAATGACCATTATCAATTTTTAGACAGATGAAAAACAATTTTATCAGACTATACTCTAATTTTAAATATGTATCTATTTTAAGCTTCAAAATAGGTCTTAAAATTTATGTTCTTGAGTAGAAATTCTCTAGGAAAACACAGTAACTAGTTTTAGATGCTTTAACTCCAAAATATTTAAATTAACAGTTTAGCATGTAAAAGGAAAATAACATAAAGTTATTATTTCAATCAATTTACTACTTAATATATGAAACAAAGTTTGTTCATTAACAAACAAAATGAGAACAATCTTGAAATTGATTTCTTCAACAAGGGAAAAGCCCATCCAGCTTCACAATTTCAGTAACTACTCATATGGTAAGGATTCCCAACCTCTCTTTGGAGTTCCAGTCATTCACCTTCTGAATGCCCAACACCTCATCTCTCCCAATCCTCACACGTCTTTCTGCTCTCTATCACAGAGGACACAAAAAGGACTGACATCCACTCAGAAACTTGGAAATCTTCCAACTCTTTTTCCTCATCTCCCAAATTTAATGAGTTCAGTCTTTTTGAAATCTCTTCAAATCTCCCATTTTCTACTCCTGCTCCTTCCACTCCCAGGTTCTCTTAGATTTTGTCCATCACCTAAACTCCAATAATAATCTCCTACATGCCCTTTTCATTTTCCCTTCTATCTCTTGAAATAAAGTCATCTGCCTAGCCCCCAAAGGAAGGTGAAAATGAGATTTTTGGCTCCTTAGGACCTGAGCTCTCTTTATGAAAAATAAGAAACATCAAGATCTGGTTCCTATTTAGCTCTTCAGTCTTATTTCTGTCACTTATTCCTCACTACTCATTCATTTTAACTTTCTGGTTCCCTAAGTGTTGACTCACACTTGTATGTGTTTGTTCCTGTATAGAAATCACTTCCACCCTTACCTTCACTAAGTTAGTCAAACTCCTATTTAGCCTCTAAATCCTCAGAGCACAAACCACTCACTTCCTTCTGTTACCTCAGTTATCTTTGAGACATTTTAACAGCTGAAAATATACTTGGTTACTTTTAAGTTTAAGGGACATGGCGTCTCATTCAGTTCTGTATTCTTAGTCTTTAGCACAGTATCCACAACAGTAACCTGCAGGTGGTAAACAAATGAATGTTGAATGTAAAGTGCTTTAGAACTGAGATGAAGTTGAAATTGCAAAGATCTGTTTGCTTCAATATTTGAATATTTATTCAGTGTCAACTTGGGCTAAGGACTCAAAGAAATGAGTCTCTATTTGACAAAACCTTTTCTTTATTGATATGAGCAATTAGTGGGTATACACATTATTGTTCTTAAATTCAACTCATATCAACATGAGTAACTCTTGCCTGCATAAAGGAAGCAGTAGAGAAATGAAAACAAAATTAATTCTTTTTTGAGTGACAAAATGAGGATCCTTCAAAAGTTTAGTTAGAAGAAAATAGCTATAAAGATAACCTTGAACAATCATTCTAGAATGATACATACCATGACCTTTGGCAGGATTATTCAGGAAGCAAACAATGGTTTTTAGAAGACACTAATAAATTTTGTTAAAAGCTAACACTAAACAGTGATGAATCTATCATATGTTAAGAAAAAGAAAACAGCAATAACAGCAATAAAGTTATCTTAATATGGTTTTTAAAATAGCTTAGATAAAGCCAGGCACGGTGGTTCAAGCCTATAATCCCAGCACTTTGGGAGGTCAAGGCAGGAAGATTGCCTGAGTCCAGGGTTTCGAGACCAGCCTGGGCAACTTGGTGAGACCTCGTCACTACAATAAATCATAAAATTAGCTGGGCGTGATGCCCATGGTGCATGCCCGTAGTTCTAGCTACTTAGAAGGCTGCGGTGGAAGGATTGCCTAAGCCCAGCATGTTGAGGCTGCAATGGCCTTAAACATGCCACTGCACTCCAGCCTGGGCAGCAGGGAGAGACTCCAACTCAAAAACTAAAAATAAATAAATAAATAGCTTAGACACGCAGTATCTAAACTCTCCTCAACTTCCTCCCGCCAGTTTTCTTTTCAATAATGGTAACTACTTGCTGCTCTATATTATATACTATATACCACCAACAATGCTGCTGAATAATTTATAAAACATGCACACATAAAAAAGTATTCAAGTCCTAGAAATAAGAAGCAAGAAATCTGGGGGTGGGCAACTATTTATTATGGCACAGAATAGCTATTTACTAAAGGATCCAATTAAAGATCTGTTACAAATCAAAATTTGGTAATACCTGAAATATCCTTGGAATTCCTCCAGTATTGTAGTGAACTATTAAGCTGACTTTATTCTCTTTTTCCACAATTTCAAAGGATCCTTCTTTCCACTTTGTAATCCCAGTCTGCATACTTCGAATTCTGATAGGACCATGTATCTTCAGAGGAGACATATTTTCTTTAAAAATAAACTGCTTCTAGCCAAATTAAAAAGCAAAAATATACCTTCACCTGGCAGGTCCTAAGGAAGAAAAATAAAATAACAAGTTACAATTTACTAGTGATTAAAATAATTTCTAACAATCTTTAATTTCTTCTGTACATCTTCCCTTCTTTGCCATATATCTGGTCCCCATGTCTATTAATGCCTAAATTCTACATTTTGCACCATTCACAACCACACTGCTGTCACTAAAGACACGCCAATTAGGAATAAGAAAGATTCCATTCTCAATGTGATTGTCTTCACCATTAAAGTGTTGATTCTTTTCTTTCTTCATATTGCTAGTGGGTCTTGAATTCTAAAGTAAGTAAAAAAATATTTTCGGTCACCTTATGCTATTTCTTAGAATCAAGTGTCTTCCAAAACATCGAAGTATATCACCAAATGTTTCCTTCCAAAAGTACGCCCATATATATAAAAGACATTAAATGAATACAAAATTTTAAGAATAATCAAACTAAGTTCAACCTCCAGAATTAACAGTATGTGAGAAAATCATTTAATCGCTAGAGAAAACAAATAACCTCTCTTCCAAATAATAATCTACCATTCACAATTAACACTGCCACTCCTAAAAAGAATCTTTACCGAGGCTGGGCACAATGGCTCATGCCTGCAATCCCAGCATTTTGGGAGGCTGAGGAGGGAGGATTGCTTGAGCCCAGGAGTTCAAGAGCAGCCTAGGCAACACAGCAAGAATTTGACTACAAAAAAATTTTTTACATGAGTTGGGCGTGGTGGCTGGTGCCTGTAGTCCCAATTACTTGGGATGCTGCAGTAGGAGGATCGCTTGTGCCCAGGAGTTTGAGACTGCAGTGAACTATGACTGCTCTACTTGCACTCACTCAGCCTGGGTGACAGGCTGGAGTGCAGTGGCACACTCATGGCTACCGCAGCCTCGACCTGCTGGGCTCAGGTGATCCTTCTGCCTCAGTCTTCCAAGTAGCTGGAACGACAGGCATGTACTACCACGCCTGGCTAATTTTTTTATTTACTGTAGAGATGAGGGCTTGCCAAGTTGCCCAGGAAGGTAATGAACTCCTGGGCTCAAGCAATCCTCTCACCTAGGTCTCCCAAAGTACTGAGATAACAGATGTGAGCCATCATGCCCAGTCCTTGAATAAACTTTTAATACTTAAAAATGACTTACAGCAATGATGGACTGTCTACAACTCTTCAAACTAACTTTACCAAAAGTCAGCAAGTAAATAAAACTACAGTAATAGCACAGAATGTTATCAAATAGTATTATATACATAAATACGCCATCATCTAAAATTGCTAAAATGAATTTTAATTATACCATTTTCAAACCTCTAAAAACACTGCCTCCAAAATGAATTCTTGGCCAGGCTTCGTGGCTCATGCCTGTGATCCTAGCTGTTTGGGAGGCTGAGGTAGGTGGATCACCTGAGCCCAGGAGTTCAAGGCTGCAGTGAATTAGGATCATGCCACTGCACTCCAGCCTGAGCAACAGAGTGAGACCATGTCTTAAAATATAATAAAAAATTTTAAAATATAAAGTAAAATGGATTCTTGTTTATAATTTAATAAATTAAAAACCATTAAACATTGCTTCTGCCTAAATAGCTCAACTAGAAAAGCTAGTAAAGGCAATACACAAAGGAAAAGGATGCTAAATCTAGAGGAGTCAGTTCCATTATTTACTAATTTGTAAGTTACCTTCTCTAACGGTAAGTTTTCTTCCCCATAAAATAGGAAGAGCAAATGATGTAGGGTTCCAAAATTAAATAACACATACTAGGTATTTAGTAGACAGCAGATATTAATATTAATGAATTAATTTGCATTTTCTGAATTTATTCCTTGTCTATAATCCCTCTTTCTCCAAAGATCTCAATAATAAGATATTAACAGAGGTCATCAACTCAACTGCCTACTGGGGTCAGACAGGTAACAAAACTGGCTTAAATAGGCAAAATCTGAACAAATGCTACCCAATCTAGCCAATTATTACCACGAAGAAATAGTGAGCCTAGCATTGCCAGACCATCTAATTTTTCAAGAAAATAAAAGATATCCAAGATTTTATGTACAATTGTCCATTTTTCAATTATGGGCAATTAATTCAAATTTATTTTTTAAAGCTACAAATCAAACAAAACCCACCTGCAGGCAGGATACAGTTTGGGGTCTCCTAGTTTGGGAACTCAGGTTACTGTACAGCAAACTATTGAAGATAAAATAAAAGACACATGAAAACACTTCCAAGAGTTAAACATGACCATGCTTTCTTTAAGCTCGGGCCCCCTCCCCTACCTTGGGGAGGTGAATGTCCTCTTTTTCTCTCTTTAATTTACTTTCTATATAAACTATATTTTCCAATCTAAAAAAAAACCAGTTAAACAGTACTATGCATCATAAGTCCGTCACGATTTTTCATTCATCTCATCAAAATTTTTGGAGTGTATACTGTGGTCAGAATTAGATATCAGAAAAATTTGCTGGGTATATTAATTCATCAAAGTAATAGAGTATATTAGTATTTATAGAATTGTCTGTTAATATGACATTTTGCTCAAATTGGTAACTCTAGAGAAATACGGGCCAACAGTGTATGTTTATAATACTTTTTCTTTTTTTTTTTTTTTTGAGTTGGAGTCTCACTCTGTTGCCCAGACTGGAGTGCAGTGGCCGCTTCCAGCCACTGCAGCCTCGACCTGCTGGGCTCTGGTGATCCTTCCACCTCAGCCTTCCAAGTAGCTGGAACTACAGGCGCGCGCTACCATGCCCGGCTAATTTTTTGATTTATTGTAGAGATGAGGTCTTGCCTGTCCAGGCAGGTCTCGAACCCGCAGGCTCAGGCAATCCACTCACCTCGGCCTCCCAAAGGCGTGGGGTTATAGGCTGAGCCACCGAGCCCGGCTTGAAGCACCATATCTTAAGCACCCACCATATTGAGGGACTCATCTAGGAACCGTTCATCCATTTTTTAATAACTCTATTGAGATGAATCTTACATATCATATAGTTCACTCATTTCAATGAGTTTTTAGTAAATTTATCAAAGTGTGCAATAATCACTGTAAATTGGTTTTTAAAACATTTCCATGACCCCAGTAAGATTGCTTATGCCCATTTACTGTTTTTTATTTTTTGTTTATTTGTTTGTTTTGTTTTGTTTTGAAGCAGGATCTCCCAGTGTTGCCTAGGCTGGAGAGCAGTGGGGTCATCATAGCTAGCTTGCTGCAGCCTTGACCTCCTTGACCTAAGTGATCCTCCCCCTAACCTCCCTGGTAGCTGAGACTAAAAGTGTGTGGCCACCATGCCTGCCTTTTTTCTTTTTTAGAGAGGAGGTCTCACTATGTTGCCCAGGCTGGGCATCCTGGGCTCAAGCAATTCTCTTGTCTTGGTTTCCCAAAGTGAAGAGATTACCAGTGTGAGTCACCACATTCAGCCTGATTTTTTGTTTTTCGAGACAAAGTCCTGCTCTGTCACCCAGGCTGGGTGTAGTAGTGTGATTATTATAGCTCACTGTAGCCTCGAACTACTGGACTCAAGCCATCCTCCCACCATGGCCTCCCAAAGTGCTGGTACCACTGTACCCAACCCCCCATTTGCCGTTAATCTCCATTCTTCTCCCTGCTGCAGGTAACTGCTCATCTACTTTCTGTCTCCATGTAGATTTGTCTTTTCAGACATTTCATATAAATGGAATAATACACGATGCTGTTTCCTGACTCTGGCTTCTCTCACTTTGCATAATACTTTCTTTTTTTTTTTTTGAGTTGGAGTCTCACTCTGTTGCCCAGACTGGAGTGCAGTGGCCGCTTCCAGACACTGCAGCCTCGACCTGCTGGGCTCTGGTGATCCTTCCACCTCAGCCTTCCAAGTAGCTGGAACTACAGGCGCGCGCTACCACGCCCGGCTAATTTTTTGATTTATTGTAGAGATGAGGTCTTGCCAAGTTGCCCAGGCAGGTCTCGAACCCGCGAGCTCAGGCAATCCACTCACCTCAGCCTCCCAAAGCGCGCGTTTACAGGCTGAGCCACCGAGCCCGGCTATAATACTTTTTCTTGCAATTACTACTGTGTGCTTCATTGTTGGACATGTCCTTGAGATTTTTTTTCCACTTTGCCTCTCAGCTCTGCAAAGAATACTTGGTTTCTCTCCTACTCCAGTTTCCCATGACAGAAACATGAGAGTAGTCTTTGATTTCCTTCTTGATGATTACTGGTATTGGATTGGAAATTAAAGATCAGAGGAGAGTCCTGTCAATTCTACCTCCACACACCTTTCAGACAGCTTTATAATGAACTGTAGATCAAACTATATGCCTCTCCTTAATATCATTTAATGGCTCCCTACTGACCTCACAATAAAATCTACACTCATTAACATTACATAAAGGCCTTCATGATCTAGTCTCTGCTTACCTCTCTATTTCCAATAAGCCCTCCAAATCTAGCCATCTGAATCACTTATAACATTTCCCAAAAGTCGTATGTTCTCAAGCCACTATATTTTTGCACATACTGTGGTCATATCTAGAGGATTTTTATGTGTTCTCCCCATCCCCAACCCTCCTTAATTACTTCCCCTGGCTGGAAAATCAAGACTCAGTTTAGATGTTACCCTCTTTAAGAAGACTGTCTTTCTTTTTTTTCCCCCCCAGTTGGAGTCTCACTCTGTCACCCAGGCTGGAGTGCAGTGGCATGCTCACAGCCACCCAGCCTTGACGTGCTGGGCTCAGGTGATCTTTCCACCTCAGTCTTCCAAGTAGCTGGAACTACAGGCATGCGTCACCATGCCCAGCTAATTTTTTATTTATTGTAGAGATGAGGTTTCGCCATGTTGCCCAGGCTGATCTCAAATCCGTGGACTCAGGCAATCCAAAGTGCTAGGATTATAGGCATGAGCCACTGCACCCAGCCTTAAGAAGCCTTTTCTAACTGCCTTTCACTTGTTCTCTCCCTCATATCCATACTAAGGCTGTTTAAATCCTTCTCTATCCTTCTATTTTACTCTATGCTCTTACTTCTAGTAGAGTATTTATCAGACTGTATTTTATATTGTCTAAAACTCTTTGTCCCTAACTAGACTTCACTATTTGAAGATAGGGAGTACGTTCTTTAATCTCTACATTCTCAATAGGACAGTATCTGACACACAAGAAACAGAAACTCATTGTTCAAGAATAACGGACAAATCAGTACTGTCAATTTTATTCAATTTGCTGTTAAAATATACAACAGATACTGGAATCATAAGTACCTTTTTAGGGTCAATACAGGGTTATATTTACCAAGCTCTTTACAAGAATATTGCTATGTACTATATTACACATAACTCATCTTTTGAAGACTACATTTAAGTTTTTTCTATGTACATCTGAACATCTCCACTAAATTCAAAGCTGTCCTATGCATACCTTGTTAAAAATTCAGTGGGAGAAAAATCATTTATGAAGAATAATGATTAATTCATAGTTACAGAGTGCATTATTTTAAGAATTAGTATATTTGCCCAAACTGGGATTCACATTGTTCACTGCTCAACGAAGAAACTCCAGAATAAAAGTTCAATCTCTTGTCAAATTGCCTTATCTTTCTTTATATGTCATTATTGACCAAGATGCCAAAATAAAAGAGAATACAAAATCCCATTACCATAGTGTTCGCCTTACAGACCAAAATAAGTAAAAGTCACTGACTTTTAATTACCCCCCAAAAAAATATTACTTAAAAATGACATTATTAGCCGGGCTCGGTGGCTCAGCCTGTAATCCCGCGCCTTTGGGAGGCTGAGGTGAGTGGATTGCCTGACCCCGCGGGTTCGAGACCCGCCTGGGCAGCGAGACCTCATCTCTACAATAATCAAAAATTAGCCAGGCGTGGTAGTGCATGCCTGTAGTTCCAGCTCCTTGGAAGGTTGAGGCGGAAGGATCGCCGGAGTCCAGTAGGTCGAGGCTGCGGTGGCCGGAAGCGGCCACTGCACTCCAGTCTGGACGACCGAGTGAAACTCCAACTCAAAAAAAAAAAAAAAAAAAAAAAATGACATTATTTAACAAAATTTAGAGAGAAATATTTCAAAGTTCACTAAAGTATATGAGAAATTTAAATTGTTATCAGTTACTTCTGTGTCTTTCTAATTTATGGCTCCCAAATATTTCAACACAGTTTTGGATAATTGTATAAAATTTTACTTCGGATATTAAACATTTTCTTAACTATTTCTACTAGCAACCTCTCTTCTACGGAAAAAAACCTGAAAAATGCAGAACATAAAACTGGCAGAATCAATATAATAAAATTTTTTCTTAATGCATCAGTATAGTTCATTACCTGCTTTTGCACTAAGTGAATTAACAATATCTACTTTTGTCAATTTATTGCATTATCAGGCTTGCCCTACTTGGTGAAGAGAAAAAAAGCTAAGTTTCTTTTTCAGTATAAAGCATGATCCATCAACAGTTAAGCTTTCAATAAACCTAAGACAAAGTGTCCTTTAACTTTGTGACGTTATTTCTCTTATCAAAGCAATTTTAGGAAAGCAGCAGATACTTAAAATGAATTAATTATTTATGTCACGAGAGATTCCCTTTTCCCTAATTGTTTTCACAATTATTAAAATTACTGTTCAGGCTGGGCTCAGTCTGTAATCCTAGCAACTTTGGGAGGCCGAGGCGAACAGACTGCCTGAGCCTGCAGGTTCAAGACCAGCCCGGGCATCTAGGCGAGACCTTATCTCTACAATAAATAAAAAATTAGTTGAGCATGATAGCGTGCACCTGTAGTCCTGGCTACTTGGAAGGCCGAGGTGGAAGGATCGCCAGAGCCCAGTAGATTGCTGCTGGGGTGGCCATGAGCATGCCATTACACTCCAGCCTGGACGACGGAGTGAGACTCCAACTCAAAAAAAAAAAAAAATTACTGTTCAGGCTGGGCACAGTGCTCATACCTATAATCCCAGCACTTTGGGAAGCGGTGGCAAGAGGATTGCCTGAGTCCAAGGGTTCAAGACCAGTCTGGGCAATTTGGCAAGACCTTGTCTCTACAATACATTAAAAAAAAAAATTAGCTGGGCATGGTAGCCCATGCTTGTGGTTCCAGCTACTTGGAAGATTGAGGCAGAAGGATCACCTGAGCCCAGCAGGTCGAGGCTGTGGTGGCCATGAGCATGCCACTGTATTCCAGCCTGGGTGACAAGAGTGAGACTTCGACTCAAAAAAAAAAAAAAAAAAAATGGCTGTTCAACTTTGAGCATACCATGAAAGTGCAGTCAGTAATATTGGCAAAAATGTTGTTTGTACTCTGTACATTTATTTAAATGCTCACATTTGAGGTACTGCTTTGAAAACATCCTTATCCAGAGAGCATTCTATGGTAAAGACAGCATTCTACAACATAAAACTATTACTATAAAATAAACACAGAAAACACAGTAATTCTTGCCAGTTTGCATACTCTTGGAAACATATATCCAAAACAAAACATTACTTACTTTTCAGTGACTTTTACTGAAAAACCCTATGTAATAACAATTCACCTTTATTCTGATCCTTGTGCCAAAGGCAAAGCACTCTTCTTGGGAAACTACTCATATTCTGCCAGTTCTCCGGAAGCCATCAACTCAGCTAAAGAAAATATAAACATACCTTTTTAAAAGAATCTAAAATACAAAATTAAAGCTTAAAAAAGGAAAGTGATCATTTATAGAAAGATTAATTCCTTGATTATTTAAAAACTACAATTATCTTAATGAAAACATGTACAAATGATGCACAACACAAGCACACACACACACAAACCAACCAACAGAACTTTAGGAATGCATCTGCTGTAAAAAAACAAGAGACTACAGGACTAGCCTGCACCTGATCAACTTGTGTCTTGGTTTATTTATTCTTGCTACATTTTGAAACTAAGAAGTCAGTGAAAAAGAGTATATTCTTTGTTGACTTTATAAACATTGTTACATAATGATGTCTTAAAATCTTTTTTCCTTAAAAAAGATCTATAAAACAAATGTACAAAAGAGATAAAAATAGTGTTGTGACTGAAAGAAGAAAGCTGACCTAGATAAAATTTACCTCTAATTCAAAGACTCTAAAATCTGAATGGCTTCATGATATAAGAATGGGCAAAAGTATCCAAAGCTGGAAAAATAATTTTTCTCATGTGTCCTTTAATTTTTCTGCAGAATGATAAGCTTTGTTATGAGATGACAAGAAAATAAGTAAGCTTATGCCTCCAAAAGACATAATGGTTCTTACAGCAAGTTTCAGTTTAGTTAGTCATTTAATAAATTCTTGAGAAATAAAAGTGAAATAGTCACGAGCTTATATTCTAAATCAGAGACAGACTTTAAATAATCATACAAGTAAATATATAACTACAAGTTCTGGAAAATAATATAAAGTAAGACAGAGGGCATTATGAGACTTATGACTTAAGACTTAGGGGAGAGGGAGAGGACATCAAGAGAAGAATTACCCAAGAAAGTACACCGCAGTTGAAAACTGCAGAATGAGTTGACTGGTAGATGGTGGTGCTAGACCACTCCAGGCAAAGAGAATGTGCAAAGGTCCTGAATCCTGAACTGGAAATAACTTGGTAAGACTAAGGAAACTTAAAGTAGTGTGGCTAGAATTTAGTGAGAGAGAGGAGGATGCGTAAAAGATGAAGCTAATAAAGTAGGTAAGAACCAGGTTATGCAGTCTCGTGGACCACAGTAAGAACACTGAATTTTATCCTAAATGTAATAAGCACTGAGAAATGGGAAATCCACTGAAAGGTTTTAAGCAAAGAAATACGTTACTGCTGAACGTTACTGCTGAATGGAGACGTGACATGGTTTGTTAGGGTTTGGGATGGAGAGTGAAAAAGAGCAAGAAGGGAAGACAATAAAGCAATCAGAGGAGAGCGTATTGAAGTTGTTCAGCTTATAACAATTACAGTAGCAATTAATACTTACTGGCCATTTACTGTGTGCCATGTGCTTACCGTAGTTATCTCATTTAATTTTCATAACAACCCAATAAGGTGAAAATCCTCATTATTCCCATTTTACAGATGAGCATACTGAGAGCAAGGGCAATCAAGTTTAGGTAAAAGAGAACTGTGGCTTGAACGAGAAAAGTGATGCTGAAGATGTACAGAAATAGATTCAGGACATATACTAGAAGAATACATACAACTTGGAGAGGGTATGGATACATGGGATGATGGAGAACTCAAGAAGGTCTCTCAAGTTTCTAGCCTGTGTCACTAGATTAATGGATATGTCACTTAATAAAATAGAACACTAGAGAAGGAAAAATTCAGATATGGTGAGAAAGATCAAGACTCTGGCTTTATTTGAAATTCGTAAGAAAAAACCAACTTGAGAAGTCAGACAACTGGCTATTTAGATTGGCTATTTAGATATGGAGCTGAAAACAAAGAATAGGCTTAAAAATTTTTAAGTAATCAATATGTAGGGAAATTTAAAGCTTAAGGAGGAACAGAAGAGTAAAAGGACAGGATCTAGGACTGAACCCAAATATTCATTTTACTTCATCAATCTCTAAGGCTACTTTTGTGTCACTGGGCTTTTCAGTCTTTCAATTTTCCTTCTCAGCAGAATGCAACACTATTGATACTTTATTCATCTCTGGCAAGACTCATCCTCCTGCATCCAGTTATTAAACATCAAGCAACTCTCAATGCTCCATCCTAGGTGCCCTTTCTTTTCTAGCATTATACTTTAAGCAATTTCATCCTCATCCACAGCTTCAATTACTAACATGGCAGATGACATATGGACATATCTATATATTCAGCCCAGAAGTGTCCGATGTCCAATTGCCTACAGCCCTCTTGGATACCTCTTCCAATTAGTTAGAGACTTATTAGGCATTGCCACCCCAATGTGTTTACACAGAGCTAAAATTCTGAGAGGACTACCACAAAACCACTCCAGGACAACTTTCCAGAACACAGAACTTTGTCATCAACTATCATTTCCTTTCATGGATCATGACTCAAAATAGGCAAACAGGTAAGCCTAACAACCTCACCTGACGGCTAGCGATGGAGAGCAACGAAACGCACAACACAAATACAATTCACGCTTTTTAGTGAGGGCCGATTAGGAGAAAGAAAAGGAAGGGTGGTCAAGAGAGTGAATGAATCTCATGCCCAAAGCCTGATGAAATGTGAGGCAACGGAAGTCACCTGAAGAGTCAGCAGGCCTTGTTACGGGGCAAGTGGTGGACGACTACAGTCCCAGAGAAAAGGGGCTAGGTTCTGGTTTCGAAGGGAGCAGGTGACAATAAAGACCAGGTCAAAAGACGGGGAAAGCCGGGGGTGGAATACCCAGGTGGAGTACCTGTAAGGCCAGGGGAGCGTCGAGGGGTTGGGGCGGGCTGAGCAGCAGCCGGGCGAACTCCAGAAGAGTCAACGCCGAGTGGGCGGATAGCACGGGGGAGGGGGCGCCAGGGAAAACGGCTCAATTGAGAAGCTACCCCGCCAGTCTTACCTGTGCCTGAAAGTCCGGAGTCTCCCGACAGGCCTGCCAAAAGCACAGCGCCAGAGCGGGATTGGAGGAGCCGGGAATTAAGAAGGAAGGGACGCTGAACCCGCAGGAACGAGGCCGCTCGCTACCCCCAGTCAGGGAGAGCGGCTGATGGCGGGAACTGTGACCACACGCAAACACGCACGCACGCACGCACACTTGACGCGACCAGAACAGACGCGTGCGCGTAAGCTGGCAAACTCCGCCCCCTCGACGCCTTTGCCCCTCCCCGCCCCGGCACCTAGCGACGCTTAGCCCGTATAGCCCCGCCCCGGTCGTGACTGTAGTACGCACGCGCACTTTCCATTTCACCCACATACGCCCTCCCATCAGTTCCCCGCTTACTCAGCCCACTCGGGCATGCGCAGTACTTGTCCTCCTTGGCCCGCTCGTCTTTTCCCGCCCTTCACTGGCGGAGGAGGGTCAGAGTTCATGCCGCTCTCTGGAGAGTACTGCTCGAAGCCGGAGGCTGCGGGGACTAGTAGGTCGCGGACGTCCTTCTGGCCCTGAATCGTAAGGGGCAAAGGACATACAGTCCTCTAGGACTGTTAAGTATACCGAGGGCGAGGAGGCGGGAGGAGGTTGTGTGGGCGGGGTCAGGGGTGAGAGGTCAGAGGGCTGCGAAGGGGGCGGAGCGAGCCGGAGGCGAATGGCGGCTACGGCGGCTCATCGTCTTCGGCGGCAGAGGCGTTGAAGCTGGGACGCGGGTCCGGCGCGTCCGACGGAGGAAGGAGAGCGGCGGCCGTTCCCAACATGCACAGCCTGGCGACAGCTGCGGTGAGTGGCTGGCCTCCCGGCCTGGACCCCAAACCCTTCCTTAGCCCCGCGTTTCGGCCTTGTATCCTAACTCTCTGTGCCGAGCCCCGAGTCCAGCTCTTTCTGCTCTCCACCTACGAGGCCCCAGTTCCCTCGGGCACACCCTGGGCTCTCCACTTTCCTCGCCGGACGCCTCTCGCGGCCTCCCGCGCGACACATCGTGTTCTTTTCGGGCGCCGGGCCTGGTCCCGCGCCCCGAGCGCCTCCCTCGCGGCCGGGGCAGGCCATTCATTGATACATTGCGCTGACCAGCAGTTCCAGTTGTGTTGCGTGCTGGCGGGGGTGAGGGGAGTTCCGTGGTCAGTCTGCTGCGGCCCATGCTCTCAGAACTCACCGCCTAGGCACATCGCAGCGGGAAGGAAATGGCTTCTGGCTTAAATCACTTGCTTTACATATGGAAAGTCTAAGGCCTGGAGAAGGGCATAATTATCGTATCTGGCTTACAGTTCTCTGCGTTTAAAACCTTTCTCGTACATCTCGTTTTGCTAGCGTGATCTTTTAACAAGAAAGATGAATCTTGTAATTCACCTGTCTGAGATATTCCTGTAGCTTCCCATTGCATTTGGATAAAGTCTAGACTCCTTGCCATTGCCTGCAAGGACCTGTATGATATGGTTCTTACCCAGGTTTACAATCTCGTTTTATGTCTCTTGCCCCTTTAAGCTTTATTGGCCACCTCTAACCCTCTATACGTGCCTTTCTCCTCCAATATGCACTTTCTGGTCTCTATGTCCCTTTCCCCTTACACACACACACGCAGCACGTAGGTATAACTGGCACCTTTTCATTAAACTCTCCTTGAGCTTACTGTTCATCCACTTCCATCTTCTTCGGGTCTCTACCTAAATCTACCTCAGAGTGACCTTCTCTGGCCACCCCATCCAAAATAATTCCGTGCCTCTAACTTTCTTAGCGAACCACTATAGCACCGACCCCAATGTGTGAGTCCCGCATCCCTTTACTCTGTTGTCTGTATCCTCCTTGAAGGCAGGGACAGGGATCCTGTGGACCTTGTTTGCATGATTTCCTCAGTGCCAGGATAGGATTTAAATATTTTGCTGAATGAAAGAGTATAGATGAGGGAGTTGACCACTGGGAAGACATAGCCATAATGGGAAAAGGGGATCGTTTGATTTGAGCACACTTGTCTAAAAGGCCAATTCCACTTTATCTTTTTCATCAAGGGGAAGTGATTTAGAGAAAGTAATGTACTGAACTTGCATTATCAGGCAAAATGACATAATTACTAAATAGAGCACCAAAAAATTGCCTTAACTTCAAGTACAAAAGGTGAAAAACTGAGCCAAGTGTGACTAAGCTATAGAAAACTGCTTTTTGAGATTTGATCTCTATCATCTTGTCATTTCCAGAACTGGTGGTATCTCTGGTTCTTACCACTGTGTTTCTAAATGTTTGTAACTGTTCACTATGGATAGGTACTTTTCGTATGTCTCAATTAGGTGCTTTCAATTTCCCTAGTTTTTTTTGTTCCTTCTTTCAAGGTTACTGCTAGTAGGGGAGAGGCATGTTAAACAAGGGAAATTCTTCTAAGGTTGACTTGTCTGCCTCTCAGAATCTGATCATGTCTTCTCTGGGATTTGTACCTTTGATATCAAGCCACTCTTTTCCTTGTGCCTTCCCAAACACTTAGAGCTGTTTAATTCCTTTTATTTTCAGTTGCTTCCTAATGCATCTTTTGAACAACCATTAAAGCTTTGGTTACTTATACTTATATTATTATTTATAATAAGCTTTGGTACAAGTTTCTTCATTTAAATTTACAATGCCTTACATTAACTTAAAAATTTGAACTTTTAGATGCACTTTAACTTGTTATGCTGTTTGCACCACACTGGAGCTCTGACAAGTTCATTTGTACCACTCATTCACTAGTCTGTTTAACCAGTGAAGAGATCAAAATGTACAAAGTTGAGCCACCCCTTCTCAATCCTTCATGCCTTCCATTGGACAAAACTGCCTGTATTATTCTGATCTGGGTAAAGGGGCAGTAGTGATGTATATCTTTCACTAGAAGTTGAGAAGCAGAGTTAATGCATGCAACAGTGCCCATAGCCAAAGCCACTTGAGAAAATACTTTCTACCTAATAGTGAAAATGTGTATTTATGCATATCTCTTTTTTTAAATAGCAGGTAAATCAGCACTTCAGCTAAGAAGATAGAAAGTACTATCAAAGGAGAATGTAAGCCAGGTGTGGTGGTACATGCCTGCAGTCTCAGCTCCTTGGGAACCTGAAGAGGGAGCGTCATTTGAGCCCAGGAATTCCAGGCTACAGTGTGCTATGATTGCACCTGTGAATAACCATTGCTCTCCAGCGTGGGCAACACAGGGAAATCTTGTCTCATTTGAAAGGAAATTGTGGTCACATGTGAATGCAGGATGTTATTTACTAGAGAGAGAAATTGAGATACTTTGGGAAGTATCTTTTTTTTTTTTTGAGTGGGAGTCTCACTCTGATATGCAGGCTGGAGTGCAATGGCATGATCACAGCATACCACAGCCTCGACCTCCTGAGCTCAGGTGATCCTTTCTGCCTCAGCCTTTCAAGTAGCTGAGACTACAGTTGCGTGCACCACACTGGGTTAATTTTTTTCTTTCCTTATTTTGTAGAGGTAAGGTCTTACCTTGTTGCCCAGGCTGGTCTCAAACTCCTGGGCTCAAACAGCCCTCCTGCCTCAGCCTCCCAAAGTGCTGGGATTACAGGCATGAACCACCCTGCCCAGCCAGGAAGTATCTTAAACTTTGACTTGAGCAGTTTTATATTATGCTAGAAATGTATAGTGTAGTAAGCTCTTGTCATTTTTTTGTGGACTATATCCTAAACATCTTCATTACTGCCACCATTGAATATAATTTTTTTCTTTCTCTCTTCTATTAAATAAGGATAAAAATACTACACAGGATTATTCTAAGGATTAAAGAATAATAAAATGCTCAGTGGTTAGCTAGGTTCACTCACTGATTAAATGACTCACTCCCAGACTTCAGCCTTCAGACTCTAATTCCTACCTCAATAAAGTAACAAATTACTTTGTTATGGACCTTGGAGGTTGCTTCAGATTAACAGAATTACAAATCATCACATGCGATAGGTTTTCTGTAATGGATGTTATGCTACTAAAACAGCCAAAGATAAGCCATTAGGAAATGCATTTTTTAAAATTTCCTCACTAATTTCCATTAGCAATTTTAGCATTCCTAAGCGTTTGTCTTTCTCTCACTTTCCAGCTAACCAGCAGCATCATTAGTCATTTTATGGTTTTTTGGGGGGTTTTTTTTGAGTCGCAGTCTCACTCTGTTGTCCAGGCTGGATTACAGTGGCACGCTCCTGGCCACCACAGCCTCGACCTGCTGGGCTCAGGTAATCTTTCTACCTCAGCCTTCCAAGTAGCTGGAACCACAGGTACATGCCACCACACTTGGTTAACTTATTTATTTATTTATTTATTTTGTAGAGACAAGATCTCGCCAAGCTGCCCAGGCTGGTCTCAAACCCCTGTATTCAGACAATCCTCTCGCCTCCGCCTCCCAAAGTGGTGGGATTACAGGCATAAACCCCCACGCCTGGCCCATTTTGCATTTCTTTATTTACATTGTGATGGACTCCCAGATGCACTCCACTTTGGAAGCAGAAAGAACATTGTGAACGATAAAGGATCTAATTCACTGCCTCCTCCTGAGTCTTCTGTTGAAGCTTTAGGCAAATTGCCTAACTTCTCTTTCCTTGTTCACTTCCATTTTTAAAAAGTTATTTTTTTAGCCAGGCTCGGTGGCTCGACTTGTAATTCTGCGCCTTGGGAGGCTGAGATGAGTGGATTGCCTGAGTCGGCGGGTTCGAGACCCGCCTGGGCAAATTGGTGAGACCTCATCTCTACCATAAACCAAAAAATCAGCCGGGTGTGGTAGCACGCACCTGTAGTTCCAGCTGCTTGGAAGGCTGAAGCGGATGGATCGCCAGAGCCCAGCAGGTCGAGGCTGCGGTGGCCGGGAACAGCCACTGCACCCCAGTCTGGGTGACAAAGTAAGCCTCCAACTCAAAAAAAAAAAAAAAGTTATTTTTGAAAAAAAAAACACTCTGACTCTTTTTTAATGAAGTTATTAGGGTAATTAAGCTAATTTAATACTTTCAGCCCTATTTAGGAAGTGCATTTTCTTGAACTGTCTTTATGCTGACACCCAAAGTCATGTGTTGAGCCATCTCTAGACTTGGGGAAATAATCTCTATTTCAATCTTATCCCATTCTTTTCTTTATTCATTGTCATAATCTTGGGTAGGAAAAAAGTATTTTGGCCCTTAAACATAAAGTTGTGTTGATAATTTGGCTATTTTCTTCTTAAGACACCATCAACATCAATTTTTAAATTTACTCAAAGAAGGGGAAATTATTTTCAACACATTCATTAAAAGACTGTTGATTTTAGCAGGATGTATTTAATATAATCTATAGTAATGTGCAATAGAGCTTTTTCCTAATCTTGGAAGTAAGTAAGTGTTGAGGATAATAACTAATATTATAAGTCAGACTTCTCATAAGGATTTTATGTGTCTGAGTATTAATGAGTTATGATATAAGGGAATATTAAACTTAAGAAAGTTCTGGCTGGGCTCTGTGACTCAGCTTGTAATCCAAGCACTTTGGGAGGCCGAGGCAAGTGGATTGCCTGAGCCTGCAGGTTTGAGACCAGCCTGGGCAACTTGGCAAGACCTCATCTCTACAATAAATCTCAAAAACATTAGCCAGGCGTGGTAGCATGCGCCTATATTTCCAGTGACTTGGGCTAAGCTGGAAGGATCGTCAGAGCCCAGCATGTCGACACTGGGGTGGCTGTGAATGTGCCGCTGCACTCCAGCTTGGGTGACAAAGTGAGACTCCAACTCAAAATAAGAGTTCTGTTGAATTCTTAAGAAATAATTTCTTCAACTTGGAGGAGTGTTAGTGAT